TACCTCGTAAAAAAAAAATGAAATGAAATGAAATGAAAGGAAAATAAATGTTAGTGAATTTGTCAAAAAAAAAAAACAATATAATGAACAAAAACGGAATGAAACGATAGCATATCATGTGACAGTGTATTCCCCAGACTCCGGGATTGTCGGAAACAAATCTGAACGCAATCCACCTAAAAAAAAATAACATTCGCCTGTTTAGTCTGTTTTTCATTTTACTAATAGGGACTATTTGTCACCCATTATATGCTACCGGTGAAAGAAAACGCGAAATTTTTTTTTTTACCCTAAGGCAGGTATTGTTGCAGTATCACGCTTGATTGGATTATGCGTATTCAAATTATCTTCATCAACTTTAGTTCCATTTCCGGTTCCAAGTACCCAAAATTGGTATCCATGCTAAGTTTTTAGAAAAAAAAGTTAATGTTTTAAATCATTTATACCGATTAATTAATTTTACATACAATGTGAAACGGATGTTCGCCATCGTCAGTATCTAAAAAAAAATATTTGTTAATAAAATCATAAAATTGAAAAATTCTTATACAATTGTTAATTAATTATACTTACTGATGAAATAAATATCAACCACTTCTCCAGATTTATCAAAAACATAGGCATTTGCACTAGAATCGTTAATTGGTTTCCTTTTAAAGAGTTTATCTAAAGTCGGAAAATTTATATCGGGTATATAAGAAGATTCATTAAGGAAGGCTCTAACAACTCCTGTTGCATTCTTATGAAAAGCAATATTGAGTTCCAATTTTTTCGTTGGTTCGGGAATCTTTTCTTCTTTAAATGGTTGTAAAGTCTTGTGATCTAGATCAACGCATTCTGTCAAGGGATCTGACCATGGATTATCTTTTGGTTCAGGATCATCGGGGGCTCCTTCATAATGTACTATAGCTTTCATAATAGGAAGACTAACTGCAGCATCTGGCATGCATTTCTTTTGAAATTCAGAACGCATTATATAATTAGCGGCAGGCTGGTTTGCAGTAACAATAACAGAATATCTTTGAGCGACATTGATGGGAAGACGATGGATTTTATTTCGTTTAGTATAGAAACCGTCCGCTTCTATAACTTCCATTTCATGTTTATCAATAGAAAAGAAGAATGACGAAAATGCGCTAGAAAATAAAAGCGCTCGTTACTTTTAATTTTTTTTTTTTTTTTTTTTTTTTTTTTTTTTTTTTGAATTGCATAATACGATGATTTAGATTACCTAGTATTAATGATACGAAGGCGATATCTTTTATCTTGAACAAATTCAAATTTAGCAAGGCCGGCATTGTCCACACATTTAGAACCCGGTGGGGCCTTGGAGCAATCGAAATTATTTTTTCCATTGATCAAACCGTTATCGGGAACTGTAGGTTAGGAATCGTTCTAATTAGCATCACGCGGTCATACTTTTGTACTTATTTCAGTCTTTCTTACCTGGCTATTATAATATAATGAGAATGAATTAATATGAATTTAAGAATTTCGAATTAAGCTTCAAAACATTAAATTTACCTCTATTCCGTGACTTTCAGGAGTTAAGAATTGTTTTAATAAAATTTGTGCGTTGGTGTGATGATAATCATTCAACATGACAATAATTTCCTCATCATATTCCGATTTATACGGATCATCAGGATCGTGAATAACTATTTAATTAAATAGGGAAGTCATAGGGAATTAGATTAAAAAAAAAAGCCGATTTAAATTAAATAATTAATAACTTACTTAACGCGCCAAAAGCTCCATCAACATATTGCATCGTTTCATGCGCATGACTAAAGAAATATTATAGATAGACAGTGAGTACATAGGATTTCAAATGGTTTTTTTTTTTGTTCTCGTAAATACTTACTACCAATGAGTGCCGACTTGGTCGGAAACAGTGAAATTGTATGTGAATTCGTAATCGTCTGGTATAACGCATTGAGCCTGATAATGTACGTGTTAATCGATGATTGGTCAATATTAAAAGAATATAATTATACGAATTGGTTTTTTCCATAAACTCACCATCCATGGTACTCCATCGAACCTATATAATCGATTGTGAAATTAGTATGGTCTTTGTAAAAATTAATTCCGGTAAAAAAAATCACATACCAAGGAGTCCCTCTTTGAAGCATCCCATGCGCATGAATAGCTAATATTTCATTTTACAATATGCGTTTAAAAACACGTAAAACACATAAAACAGGAAAATATTCGTTGCAAATTACCTGTTGGTTCTCCCAATTTATTATGAATTTTCATCACAATACGATCTCCTTTGTTAACTACTATGGTTGGTCCAGGATATTGTCCATTAACGGTTGATAATTGTCGAGTAAATCCATCTGGAGCTAAAGTAACTTTTTCTATAGTGAAATCAAAAATATTTGTTTTTGGTTTATATCCTCGGTTCAAAATTGGCGTGGGCGAGACTACTGCTGTCCAAAAAATAATATAAAAGAAAAAGATCCCATAAAAAGTCATTGTTATATTATTATTAGTTTAAACACGTTAAATTAATTAGAATTAAGGATATCTTGGCAGTATTTATATCTTTCATTATCATATGTGCTATGAATGTCCTTATTATTTTTATTATTTGTCATTCTACAGCTCGAGCACCCTAGTCTCATCAAATTTAAAAAATAGTGGCCAAATTTATGTGGTAATATTATATGATCATATGACAAAATTAATTTATTTATTTTATTATGCCTTTTATAATGTTTAATTATATACTCTGCTTGTTTTGGATTTAATCCTTTATAATATGCACCTATATAATAATAAGATTTACACGCAAATTCTCTAATTTGATAGGCATAATTCTGACCGGGTGTAATCACATGAATATTTTTAGCAGTTCTTCAATAAAATTTAACTCAGGGTGGATTTTAGATAAAAAAATTGCTTTATGACCTTAATCATTCCGTTTTATGCATTAGTCATTGTAAAAATTGAGAAAAAATACAAAAAATTGGGACAAAAATAAGTGGCCAAATTAAAAAAAAATTATATTGATAATATATATCCAAAAAATAAAATCATATATTTGTAGTTCGTAACTTTATCTATTAGGATATGAGTATTTTAAAATTAGTTGCTTTTTTTGGAAGTTATGCCTATTTAAAAAAAGCAAAAAAATTTTGATGCAGAATGAAAGTAAAAATAAAAAAGATCGATGCTTTCTTTATAGTAACCCGTTTACGATAAGTATAATTTATTTTATAATTTTGAGATTCGGCTATTTATCATATGTTTTCTTGTGAAATTCTTTTTATTTTCCTTTTTTGATATAATAATAATAAATTGTTTGAGGGATTGTCGAATCTTTATTTAAATTGCAATAATATTGCCGATCAATTCCGATTAATTTCAATTAATAAGGCTAATGCGCAATTTAGTTATAACTTTTACCGTTTATTGAACAAGGTTTCGTACTCCACAGGTCCGCCTTTTTTAAGTAATATGAGTTTTTTTTTTATTACAGCAATTAGGCGATACTTAATTGAAATTCTGTTATTTGGTCAAATCACTATAACTAATAAGCTATTTATTATGTCATTTAATATCTAATATTGACAGTTTCTAATAATAAAAAAAAATAAACCAAGTTCAAATTCACTGAGTCTAATTAATAAAAAAAATATTTTTAGGAAAATTGGGGTCTGAGAAGCATAGCAGGTTTCCCGATTTTTGAATAATCACATGACGATCGGCAGATGTGATCCATCTAAGATCTGCAGCAAATCATATGTTCTGATCGGAGATAATACTTATAATAACTTACATAGAGACGTTTGAATCTGATACCGTTCCTTATGCAAAACATTGTCAAGTACAAGTTAAGCTTATAGAAATAGGTTCTCTTGTAGAGAACATTCATTATGGTCCGTTTTCTCATTTTTGGTGAGAACTTTCAAGTACAGTCGACTTCCTCTATAATTACACCCCTTGGATCACCTAATGGTGTAATTGTTGAGAGGTGTTCTTATAAAGAGGTTTTATTCATATAGTCACATATCTATATTACTAAATGCAAGCTGAAACGCCCCTGTCATGTTTACTGAACATCCCCTGTTGGTTTGAAGTTTCGTGACCTAACGTGATTTTTTAGTGATTGACGAAAAACTGAATATTTGAATACATATTTATAATAAATAATGATAGTTAAATCGTGATTTAGTATCTGTTGTAATGCTTATTATTTGTATTCTAACAATTGACATCATTAACATCATTAGTTTGATGTATTTGTTATTACTTTATGTTCAATTGCTTTGAAGTGAGATTTATACAAATAAATCAAAAAAGTTCTTGAATCGTGATAAATCGACTGGACAAAAATTGAGTGATAGCTTTTTGCAGTCTGAAAGAAGTAAATAATTTTGTGTTTCTTTGTAGGTTGAATTTTCAATGTAACCAACTAAAAATAGTGAAGTTTACAAATCAAAGTCAAAATTTAAATACAAATAGTGGAAAAAAGTGATAATTAGTTGAATAATCGAATAAATTACTATACTTTTGAGCTGAATTTTTAGATATGACCAACTAAAAATGGTGAGGTATACAAGTCAAGGTTAAATTTTAATTACGGGTGGTAGAAAATATCAAAAAATGTCAACTATCTTTTGAGCTGAATTTTTAAATATGACCAACCAAAAATGATAAGGTGTACAAGTCAAAAGTCAAAATTTAATTACGGATAGTAGAAAACATCAAAAAATGTCAACTATCTTTTGAGCTGAATTTTTAGATATGACCAACTAAAAATGATGAGGTGCACAAGTCGAGAAGTCAAAATTTAATTACGGGTAACAGAAAATATCAAAACATATATACTTAGATATTTCTGACATTAACTACTGTTACTGGAGTGAAAAAAACCTTATGAACGACGGAGAACTTGAAAATCAAAAATGACGAAAAGAGGATTATAATGATGAACCTTTAAAACAGAGACAAAGAGATAATTTACGTCAATATCGTATTCACCAAATATGCAGACGATTAACAGTGCAAGAAATTTCTTTGAGTTTGCTCATTTCAAAAGGTTCCAACTTCCTGCAATAACTTTTTGCAAAATATGTGAAGCAAAAAAATTTATCAGAGAACTCCCAAGTATATGCTGTGCAAACAGAAAAGTCACATTAGCAAAAGTTGACATACCTAAAGACTTGAATGATTTATTTCTTAGAAATGACAAAACCAGAATAGAATTCGACAAAATATTCGTGCATATAATGCCCTCTTCGCCTTTACATCTATGGGTGTAAAACTTGATGAAGAAACAGTACACGAGTGAGACGGAGTTTATTGTTTTTGTATTCAGGGTGATATCTACCATGCGATACCTGATTTCCTTCCCGATGATAACTCTCTACGATTCCTTCAACTCTACGTTTATGATACTGAACATGCTGATATAAACAGGTTAAAAATCATGTCTTCGTTACATCAAAATATGATTAGCCAAATTAGACGTATTTTAAATGATGTTAACCCTTTTGTTATAAACTTTTATTGTCTTTCTGAAATTTGTAACCTTTCATGTTGCAAGCTTATTATCAAGGCTAACTCAGGTCTTGATCAACATATATATAACTCTCTGATGGCTTCGCAAGTAGCAACTATTTAGATAGAAGGTAACAATTCAGTTAGTATATAGAAACGTGATATTGTAGTTCTTCCACGTTCAGGAAAATTTCAAAGAATTTCTGAAGTAAGTGATTTTTATGACCCTATGTAATATCCTTTTTTCTTTCCACGAGGTGAATACGGATAACATATTGGAATACGCCAATATGACAAAAAAATAACATTAAGAGAGTATTATGCATACCGACTACAGATTCAAAATAACTCACCTTCGTTGGTTCTTCTCAGAGGTCAACTTTTTCAACAATACATTGTAGATAATTATGTTAAAATTAAATCAGAGAGACTCAATTTTTTCCTTTTAATCAAGCTAAAATCAGAAGTGAATTGTACCAAGGTTTGCAAGATTACCTTGCAACAGATAACACTAATGCATCTTGCATTGGTACACATATTGTCTTATATCATTAATCGTCAGTAGTCATTGAGATATGTACTAACGTTATCAAGATGCGATGGCTTTAGTATAACATTTTGGAAAACTGGACATCTTTATAACTATGACTTGCAACCCTGAATGGATAGAAATAAAAGTGGATCTGCTTCAAGAACAAAAACCTATTGATCGGCCTGACCTTACAGGCCGTATCTTTCGAGCGAAACTTGAAGAACTAAAGAAGGATCTTTTTCACAATAACATTGAATTTCAAAAACGTGGTCTTCCTCATACTCACATTCTTATTATTTTACATACTGAAGATAAACTCAAAACACCTGACAATTATGATTCCATGTTCGAGCAGAGATTCATGATCCTATGACAGAACCAAGACTTTATGAAACTATAACAAGACATATGATGCATGGATCATGTGGTCCATTTAACCTCAATACGCCTTGCATGAAAGATGATAAATGTAAAAAAAACTATTAACGAAATTTTGCTGAATTAACCATTCAGGAATTTGATTCCTATCCCATTTACAAATGTAGAAATGGACTTTATATAAATATGAGAGGTGCCAAACTAAATAATTGTTTGGTTATACCTTATAACTCTTACCTCTCTTTGAAGTACAATTGTCATATTAATGTTAAAATTTGTTCCAGTATAAAAGTTGTCAAATATCTTTATAAGTATGTTTACAAAGGATACGATAAAGTCGCTGTTGAAATTATCGCTGATTATAACAATGACGAAATTAAACAATATCTTGACGTCCATTGGATATCAGCATCAGAAGCTTGTTGGAGAATACTCAGTTTCAAAATGAATGCAATTTATCCTTCGGTCTACAGATTGTAAGTCTATCTTCCACAATACCAAACTATTCGATTCTCTGATAAAGATAATATTACCAACATCCTTGCTGATGAGCGAAACCAAAAAACTACACTTACTGAATACTTTCATACAAATCTTATTGATCCAGAAGCACGTAACTATCTATATTCTGAATTTCCTCAATATTATGTCTGGAATAGAAAATATAAACAGTGAACTAAACGAAAAAATAATAATGCTATTGGTAGAATGTATGTCATAAATCTGTTAGAAGGAGAACGTTACTATCTTTGAATCCTTCTAAATCATATTAAAGGTGCAACATGCTTTAATGACCTCAAAATTGCAAATGGAAACTCGTGCTCAACATTTAGAGAAAGTGCAGAACACTGCAAATTACTTGAGATTGACAAAAGTATACAAGAATGCCTGATGGAAACATATCAATTCAGAATGCCACAAGCCTTGTACCAACTATTCGTGATGATTTTGATCTTTTGTGAACCAAATGATGTACGAAACCTCTAGGATGAAAATTTTCTTGCTATGTCAGAAGACTATATTAGAAATAGAATACCTGAAGGATATCTTCGAATCAGTGCTGTTCTCAATGACGTTAGCAACTTTTTAGAGCAATATTACAAAACGATACGTGATTATGATTTGTCAGAAATCACAATCGATTCAAATGACCATGATTATTCATCTAAAATAATTAATAAAGAACTCATGATTCAGGTATACAGATAAACTATACGGTACGAAACACTATTTTGTACTGTACGAATAGTGACTTGTACGATTTATTTGTGGCTTGTATAGTTGATTAACTAATATCACGTGATATTTTTAACCGTGAGAATTTTATCTGGATAATATATAAATGTGACAAATAATATTTTAGACCCAAAAAAATTCTAAGTCCTTAAAAAAATATAATAAAAATTGAATGTTGGGGTATATTGAGGTGGTGATAATAAAATGTAACACCCCTAATTAATTTGCATATGACATAAACTCTAACCCCTAATTTTGACATAAATAGATAATAAATATATATTACAGGGGTTGGGTTTATATTTATTACTGTTTGACTTTTTAATATAAAAATACTTGTACTGTACGGTTTTTTAACATAAAAAAATTTATACAGTACAATTAGATTTTTATAATATATATATTATTGTACAAATTTTGTGCAAAAATTTATATAAAATTGTACAGTACAAAATAGCGTTTCATATTGTACAGTTTATCATCATACCTCCTTCCGAAGATTTAAATAATATACAGAAGTTAAATGATGACCAAAAATGTATCTTTGATAAAATTATACGTTGTGTAAAAGAAAATCAACCTGGTTTTTTTTTCATTGATGGTTCCAGTGAAACCAGTAAAACATTTTTTTACCACTGTTTACTTACATCTATTAGATCCTTCGGTTCTATCGCTCTTGCTACCGCTTCTTCAGAATTAGCTGTACTAATTATGCCTGGTGGTTATACGGCCTATACCTGCCACCCAAATTCAAAATCCAAATGCCAAAATCCCAAATGCCAAAATTCCAAATCCCAAATCCCAAATTATGATTAGTATTTTTTGCCGAAATCCCAAATCCCAAATCCCAAATACTAGTAATTTGGGATTTTGGCGTCCCAAATCCCAAATGATTTGGGATTTGGGCAACACGTATAATACGGCCCATTCTCACTTTAAGATTTCCATTTTCCTTGATGTGATTTCAACGTGTAATATTAGTAAACAATCAGATATAGTCCATCTCATCAGTTGTGCATTAATTATTATTTGAGATGAAGCCTCTATGATATACCGCTATGTTTTTGAAGCATTTGATCGACTTTTAAAAAACTTAACAAATGATGAACACCCATTTGGAGGAAAAATAATTGTACTTGGTGGTGATTTCTGACAAGTACTTCCCATAATCCAACAAGGAACACGAACTCAAATAGTTAACGTTTCTATCATAAAATTCACACTATGGTCAACTATTGAAATACTCTGACTACGAAACAATATGCGTGCACAAGATACATCATCTGATTTTAAAGATTTTTTACTTCGCGTAGAAAATGATACGGAACCAACCATTAATGATGACTTGATTCGTATTCCTGATGAAATGATTGTTGCTTGTGATGATAATGAAATGTTATTAAACTGTCTCATTCAAGAAACATACCTTAATTTACAACAAAATGCATATAACTCAAATTATATTGTTGATCGTGCCATATTAGCAACAAAAAATGAATAAGTTGACATGATCAATGACATCGTAGTTAATTTTTTTCCCAGTTATCTCACTTTCTATTATAGCTTTAATTCAGTACCAGATGATACACACAATCTTTACCAGTCTGAATTCCTCAACTTAATCACTCCTAATGGTTTCCCACCTCACAAGCTCATATTGAAAGAAGGCACACCAGTTATTTGTCTATGTAATTTAGATCTAATGAACGACGTTTGCAATGGGACAAGACTAATATGTTACACACTCCATCAAAATGTTATAGAAGCAGAAATAGTAACAGGAAATCACCAAGAAAAATGAATATTCTTGCCAAGAATACCTCTTACGCTATCACAAAATATCAAACTTCTGTTTGTCCTCAAAAGAAAACAATTTCCAATCAGACTCGTGTTTGCTTTAACTATCAACAAATCGCAAGGTCAAACGATTTCACATGTTGGTATCTATTTGCCAGAACTGATATTTTCACATGGACAATTTTACGTAGTGTTTTTACATGGAATATCTAATACAACAATAAAAGTCCTGATCAAAGGAGAAAAAATATCATGTAGAAAAAATATTGTATATAATGAAGTGTTGACTAAACAATGAAGTACGTATACAGAAAAATCATTATTACAATATTCAAATGCTATTCCAATTTTTAAAGTAATAATATTAATACACATCATTACAATCTTCTTCAATGATAATTCATTTAATCTATCACAACAACGAAAATATGCAAGTGAATGTAAATAAAAATAACAAAAAATAGATAATTTATATATATAAAAATAAAATATATAAGCTATGTATATATATATTAACACAATATATTTTTATTATTAAATTTTATTAAATAATAAATAAATAAAATTACAATTACATCATCATTTATATTCCATTTATTATTTATATAATACTACCATCTATACGTGTTGCCCAAATCCCAAATCATTTGGGATTTGGGACGCCAAAATCCCAAATTACTAGTATTTGGGATTTGGGATTTGGGATTTCGGTAAAAAATACTAATCATAATTTGGAATTTGGGATTTGGGATTTTGGCATTTGGGATTTTGGCATTTGGATTTTGAATTTGGGTGGCAGGTATACTACCATCTTTTTTAAACTAATTTTTGACTAATAACTTTAATACAATATCTTGACCCATTTTTCATCAATACTATGAAAATTAAAAAGTCAAAAGTAAAAATAAAAAAATAAACACTAAGAAATTTATTATTCGCAACTATATATGTAATAATAACATGATAATAAACCTATTCTCATATTTGATCTACATACACATGTTGCAGCTACGTAAAGACCATTCCACAGGCCCCTTACTCTTACCATGCAAAACCTTTTTTTCCATCTTTATCAACTTTTATAGAACATCCTTCTTCTGTATTACAGCCAACTAATTTATTACTTTCTTCAGTACGGAATTTGCTATTTAGATATTCAGGACTCACTAAATCTTTATCAAGAGATTCATCAATTCATACATGTTTCACATTATATAGATAATTCATGAAATTTAATTCATGATATTCTCAAATTATCCAAATTAATCAAAGTCTCACTTTTAGATTTCTTTTCTAAATTTTCAATATTTTGATGAGTAATCAAAAGTTTAGTACGAGCAGAATTCCTTGAAGCCAAAATATCATGAGGTACATTACTCTCAAAAAACCTTTTTTGTTAACAAAGTGTGTATCAATACAGTTAACATCTTTGGCATACACATAGAATTCATTCTCAATTATCTCCAATTAGCCAACAACAAAAATTAACGATTCTTAAGGACGAACAATATTTTTTAAACTTGCCATACGCAAATTGTGACACAAAAAAACAACTTTCATAATAAAATTATATTCTTGCCCAGAATAGTCAGTCACTAATATGTTGATAACAGTATCATCCTCAACTTCAGTCGGAATCTCCTGAGGAATCTCAACCAAAGAAATTTTTAAGGGACATTTATTAGACTCAACAACTTTATTAAGAATCGTTAAATGTGTGGAAGTTGACACAGTCATCTACAATTTTTAAACATTAAAACATTGAACTTAATAATTAGTACTTAATAAAAAAATATACACGTTGTCACCAGTAATCCTTGGTTTTCTCAAGAACCACCTAATAGAGTGACTTAACGGTTCTTTTAAGGAGTTTATAGTCCTTTCCCGAAGGTAAGATTGTTGTTTCATCATTTTAGAAGGTACCACTGATTCAATTATTTTAGAAAGGGAATCAGACCTTTCATTTAATTTATTCCAATATCTTTTCAAGTTCATCATTATCCTTGGTATTAATATTTGTCCATTAATCATCTTTTAATTTCATCAACTTTAAATATTATTTCCAATTATACAGGTTAATTATTATTCCAAGTTCAGGTTTTATAATAGTTTATAATTAATTTCATTAACTCAGGAATAATAACATTATACAATTATACAATCAAGTATTTAATCCCAT